GATCTGGGGTCTTAAAAGGGCCTTCCCACTTCAGTATTGTTATGGAGCCTTCATTAGGACATTTTTCTACATGTCCTATTAATAGCATCACTTCTCACACCGAAATCTGTTCTTAGTCACAGCCTGGTCCTCCTGGGAACAAGATAGAGAAGCGTGGAGACTGTTCACACTTAACTGCCCGGGCCTCTGTTGGCTTCTCGCTTTTCTTCAGGCCCAAGTTAGATCTGCAGTTTCTCCAGCGGTTCCTGAGGATCCAGAAGGTCCTGTTTCCTTCTTGGTCGTCGCAGAACGTTTTGATGTTTCTGACCCTGTTGTGTGTGGCCCTCGCGGGTGAGTGAGCGTGCCCTGGGCTTTGGTGAGGGAGGCCACGCCCGCTCTGGGGACCTTGTCTTTTCTCCGGGATGTTGATGAGGCAAGGCTCGGGAAGCCTCCTTTCTTTGCCTCCATCACGGATTTCTGATCTCCTTCCTGCAGAACAGCTGGTGATCTATCAGGTCGGCTTGATACCTAGCCAGTACTATGGTGTCCTGGGAAGTAAAGACTTGGATGGGTTTAAGGCGCTGACGACCCTGGCCATTGTGCTCATCGTTCTCAACTCCACAGTAAGGGCTTTCCTTCTGTCTGGCTCTTGCTCCTGTCCAGGGTGAGTGGAATGCCCTGTAAGCCTCGGCCTGCAGGACGCAGGAACCAAGCTACAGGTGTGTGTTCCTTTTCCGGGAACCAGAGAAATGGTTGTCCAGACGTCAGAACCTTAGGCAGGCGTTGCTTGCTGTTGGCCCCTTTGGGACCAGCTTCTCCGGTGTCTTTTTTTTTTTTTTTTTAATTTATTTGTTTATTTGTGTGTGTGGCCAGCTCAGCCCACCAGGGGGTGGGGCTGGCTGGCATGTGGTGCTGGGGATTGAACCGTGGTCCCTGTGTTTTGCTTAGCTTAGCTTGTTCTAAGTAGGTGCTTTAGACCACTGAGCCATCTCACCAGCCCCTCTCAGGTGTCTTAAACCTAAGTTGGCCACCAGGTTCTGGCTTCATTGAGCATTTAGCAGAAATGTTCTCTGTCCCTACTATTCCTAGCACTTTGCTTTGGGAGTCCAGAGAGCTTTAAAACCAGGATGCCAGCAGAAGCAGCTGCTGTCACTCTCGCTCCGAGGCTGTGACTTCACCTGGCGACATGTCACACCCGGCTGTCACAGCTGCAGCTGTCCTGAGAATAGCCCCCACCCACCCTGTGCTCAGGTGGCACTTCTCCTGGCCAGCTCTTCCGAGTCCTTTCTTCTTCATGTTTCCTCCACCGGACTCAGAACCACACTCAGCCCTTACAGTACTGAATTAATCCTTGACTTGTTCTCCACCGCCAACTCCTTATGCCCTCGTCCCTGGCCCTGGCTGGCCTGTGAGCTCTCTGTTATTTCCCAGCGGCTCAGTACAGAGGAAAGTAGGAGCAGAGGTGCTTCACCAACACCAGTGCCAGGCGGGGCTCCGCCAGAGCCCCGCTCCTGCTCTCTGTGGGCCAGACCAGCTGCTTTCGGTGAGCCACTCTTGCCATGCTGTGGCACTGATGGCCTGCCATCAGGGCGCTTCCAGGGAGATGCATCCTCTTCCACACTTGGGACAGAAGAGGAAGAGCGTGAAGGGGATGGCAGTGTGCTCCCCAGTCTCCAGAGACGCCTCTGCTTATACAGTGCCACAGCACACTGTCACAAGGGCTTCAGGCTTGCCTTTGGCGAGCCCCTCAAGATTCTGTGAAGGAAAAAAGAAAACAAATCAATAAATCAATAAATAAAAAAGATTCTGTGAAGGAAGGCTGGGCGTGGCGCACAGACCTCTAATCCCAGCACTCGGAAGGCTGTGGCAAGAGGGTGGTTGTGAGTTAGAGACCAGACTGGGCTCCAGAGTGAGCTCAAGGACAGCCCGAGCTGCGTGGTGAGACCCTGCCTCCAAAAGACAAAAAAAAAAAAAAAAAAAAGATGTGTAGGAATAAACACAGGCGCGAGTGAATGAGGAAGGAAAAATCTCATGACTCGAGGCTTTCAACGGGGAAAGTGCTGAGCGATCAGAGCAGGCTGGGCCTCTGGGCAGAGGCTTCTGGCGGCCCTGAGCTTTGAACTGGGGCTTGCAGGAAGCCATCTGTCCCCTCCCCCTTGTCTCCCCCGCTGCGCAGCTGAAGAGCTTTGACCAGTTCATCTCCAGCCTGCTGTATGTGAGCTGGAGGAAGGCGCTCACGGAGCACCTGCACCACCTCTACTTCCGGGCCCGCGTGTACTACACCCTCAACGTGCTGCGGGACGACGTCGACAACCCGTAGGCGCCCTCTCGGTCCCCGCTGCCCTTGCTCACTGGCCTGACCTTGGGTGCAGACCCCGCGGAGGTCTGAGCCGCGGGCAGAGGTTGCTGTCCAGAGCCAGGGGTGGGGTGCCCCTTGGGGAGCCGCAGTTGGGCTGGGAATCGCAAGCCAGCAAGGGGGTCTCAGGAGCAGCTCCCTTCTGCCCATTCCTAGCGTATTTTTCTAAATAAGACAAAGGAAGAAAGTGTTCTTGTTAAAAACAAACTTGAATTTTCAAGAGCCAAAACGAGTTGCTGTTATCTAAGATTCAGCGGAGGATTCACGCCCAAGTTCTGCACCTCCCAGCATTGAGCTCTCCTGTTCCCTCCTTAAGCCCTAGAGCCCCTCCATAAAGTGAAGCTCATAGCAGCGCTATCATAGGATGGGATGGGATGAGCTGGAAGCTCTTCTGTAGCTCAGGAGTCAGTGCTCAGAATTGCAAGTGCCCACAAATCACCCGGGAAGAGGTGCCAATGTGGCCGTGGGGTAGGGGACCCCGTCCTGCCCCCTTCACTGCACCCCAGGGAGCACTTTGCCACCAGGGCAGCGTCTCTTCAGTTCAGGCTGCCCTCTGCCACTGCCCACTCCACCCTTTGGCCTCTTCCTGATGGCCCAGCCAGGGAGGCCTCACAGCCAGATGCCATACTAGACAGGTCCAAGTCCAGGGAGCGGGAGGATCAGGCCAATGTGCCCATGTTCCCAGTCACCCAGAAAGGCAGCCGCTATACCCCGGAGTTTCCTTTGGCTCCTCTCAGCCAGCTCAAGCTTCCGGGTGCTGGCCTTTGAATTCTACTTTTTGAGGGTAAACCGAGACACCATTAGAAGCCACCGTCTCGAGCCCTGTGTAGAGGTCCTGAGGTTCCGTTCCCCCCACGAGCTGTGCCTTGGCTGCTGCGTCTTCCCCTGGCGTCGTGGCGGAGGGCACGAGAAGGCGAGAGCCCACCTCCCTGATGGGTACTGCCCTTGGCCACAGGGACCAGCGCATCAGCCAGGACGCGGAGCGGCTCTGCCGGCAGCTCAGCAGCATGACCAGCAAGCTGCTCGTCGCTCCCTTCACCCTGGCCTACTACACGGTGCAGTGCTTCCACAGGTGCGCCCCACTCCGGGTCCCCGCCTCGCGCGGGTCTGCCCCTCCCTCCTGCACCCGGAGGCCTCCCAGTGCGTGTGCTAGGCCCCTGCCCGCTGGCCCTGTGCTGTGCTGTTTCAGTCTTGGGGATCCTGGTGATCTTGACGGGTCCCCTGGGAGCAGAGGCCCCGGCACTCCCTGAGAAGGGGCCGAGGCCTGCGCGGCTTCCTGGTACCCATGCCTTTCTCTGCCCCCTTGCACCCCACCTTTCAGCACAGGCTGGCTTGGGCCCGTGAGCATCTTTGGGTATTTCATCGTGGGAACTGTGGTGAACAAGGCCTTGATGGGGCCTATCGTGGCGAAGCTGGTGCAGCAGGAAAAGCTGGAGGGCGATTTTAGGTCTGTGCCTTGCGGAAGGCTGCTTGCTTGCTTGTTAGTTGAGACTGAGACTGCGTCTCGCCAGGTAGTTCCGGCAGACCTTGCACTCTGCAGCCCATGCTGGGCTCACTTTCGTAGTGAAATCCTGCCTCAAGCTCCAGTTGCTGACATTGTTACAGGCTACTGGGACCGGGCTGCCATGGCTCAAGTCCCAGCTGGCAGTCACTAGCTGTGTGACCCTGGACCAGGTCTTCCACCCCTCTGACTTTCCATTTTGTCGCCTAAAGTGAGATGGCTCAGTGGCCAGCGGGGAGGATGGAAGCAGTTGTTTATACACGGGAAGCACAGAACGTGTCTAGTCAGCCGCCACCAGTGTCTCTGCTGTCTGTGGCCTTCTCACCTGCCTCTGGCCTGGCCACCCTTCTTGGGTTTGTGAGGCCTGGCCTGGACTGACATGGTGACGGCTCTGTGTGCCTCTTGGCCTGTCCTTCACGGTAGGCCGGGGGTGCCCCATGATACCTATGGAGGGCTGCGGCCAGCCCATTCTACACAGCTACTGCCCCCCAGCGGAGGTCCTGGGGTTTCCTACCCCAAGACAGTCAGAAAGTTGTGACGTAGGGGTTGCGGTGTTGGTAGAGCTGCCCTCTCTTGGCCCAGGCATAGGAGAAGTGGGGTTTCCTTAAGAGCCAGGGCGGGCTCCTCACCCTCAACACAAACTCCTTCTGGCTTAGGTTCAAGCACATGCAGATTCGGGTGAACGCGGAACCTGCTGCCTTCTACAGGTGAGTCTGCCAGAGACGCTCCCTCCTGCCGGGCGGAGCTGACGGTAGAGGAGGACAGATGAAGCTGCGGCCTTCTTAGCACCCATGCTGGAGCTGAGCACTGTCATGCTTGGCTGTGACCCTTTCCCTCTCCCTGTCCCTGCGGATTTGCTTCTGCAGCAGGTGGCTCCCTGCAGTGGCCAGCTTTAGGCTTAGTGGGCTCCCATACACCTGCAGGGGCCAGCAACCCAGCGAGAATGTGCTTCTGCTGATGGCTGACTGGAAGGCGTCGCCTCGGCCTCTGCCTGCCTGTCGTACGTGTCTTGCCAGTGCGTGCTGCTTAGGGCTGACTCTGCTCTGTGGCACGGGCTGCTGCGACTGCACTGCGGCTGCATGAGCTTCCGGCCAGGCGGGTCTCTGTGCTCGGCTGTGTGTGACTTCAGGTCAGCACCGGCACTGGGCTCATGGGCAGGGATTGTGTTGCCCTTGGATTACGCTTTGTGGGTCATTTGCCCTTCTGTCCCTGCTGCTTGTGCAGCCGTGGCCACTCGGGAGCACCAGCAGGGCGAGGAGCGAGCTACGCTGGGGGATTGGTAGGCAGAGCTGTGCTTCTGGCCCCTGCAGCGTCTGCTCACGGAGCTTTGGGGAAGGCAGAGTAGTTCTCAGGGATCTAGACCCGGTCTTGTGCAGCCGCTCGTCCTCCACCCCTGCCTGGAGAGTTTCTGCCTGGCACGGTAGGCCCTGTCACTCTCGGGAGCGTCGTCGTACTCCCACAGCTCAGGCCTGTGAGGACGTCCTCCGAAGACACTCTTGGCCGGCCGCACTCCTGGTGAAGAGTACTTCCTGCCCTCTGAGTTTGCACAAGGACGGGAACTGTTTGTGCACCTCTAGACAGAGCCTGGCGGGAGGGACTGCTGCCCTGAATCCGATTAATGATGCTCTTGTTGGTTGAAGGCTCCTGTGTCCAGTTCTTATATTTTGGTGATGCTGGAAATTAAACTTCACACTAGTGACGTTCCCAGCCCCTATGTGAGACAGCGTCTTGCTAAATCAGTAGACTCTGGAAGCTAGGCTGGAATCTGTGCTTCTCCTGCCTCGGCATTCCTAAATGCTGGAATTATAGGCTGGCACCACCACACTGAGGCTTTTTTTAAAAAAAAATTTTTAAGTTTTATGTTTGTATTTTAGTATAAGGTCTGCAGGGTCTCACTACATAGATCAGTCTCGCTGTGATCCGCCTGTGTTCAGCCTCCCAAGAGCTGGGACTACAGGTGCGTGCCACCACACCCAGTCTGTCACCATCTCAGTGTACCCCAAGGGCAGGGCTGGCACTGCTCGGCATGGGGGGTATCAAACCCCAGCCACTGCGTCTGCCTGAACAGGCACTTTGATCCACCGAGCTATTTGGCAGCCCCTGTTTTTTATGTTTTTGAGACATGGTCTCATGAAGCAGCGCAAACTGGCCTTGAACTCCCCACCTTGTTGCCTTAGGCTCTGAAGCTCTGGGATTACACGTGTACACCACCATGCCCAACGTACATTCAGAAACTCTTAATTACTAATTGATTGCATAGATACCCTTAGCTCCATTTCACAAATGAGAACAACTAAGGCACTAGGTGTTTAAGCAAACTGCCACTGTCAGCTAGAAGCTGAGCGGAGCCAGGATTTGGTCTGGTTACCTCTGGGGTTCGTGTTCTTCCCACACACAGTGCCATGAGGAGCAACAGGCAGTGAACAGGTGCTGGTGGCGGAAAGGGTCCGAAGCTAGGTCGTTGTCGTGGGCCTGGTGGGCCGGGGTGGCCTGCTTGACTCCCCAGCTTTTCTTGTTAGAGCTGGCCGTGTGGAGCACTTGAAGACAGACCGCAGGCTTCAGAGGCTCCTTCAGACCCAGCGGGAGCTCATGGCCAAGGAGCTCTGGCTGTATAGTAGGTGGTGGGCCTGGGAGGGGGCGCCCGTGGGGCACAGGGTCTGCTTCTCTGCCGCTGCCCACCTGATCAGTTTGCTCTGGAGATGCCAATTCTTTTGCCGTGCCTTTGTCCTCAGGATGGGGATGGGGGCAGTGTGGCCCTGGCTGGCTGGCTGGCTGCTCCTCAGGGCTGGGTCCCCTGCCCAGCACGAGTGGCCCCAGGGTCTCCTGTGGTCTGTCTCCGCAGTCGGGGTCAACACATTCGACTATCTGGGCAGCATTTTGAGTTACATCGTCATCGCAATCCCCATTTTCAGTGGGATCTATGGAGACTTGAGCCCCACTGAGCTTAGCACCCTGGTCAGCAAGGTAAGGACCCTGCTGCCGCCCCTTCTGCCCCTCCCCCAACCCACTGCCCAGGACCAGGGGTCCGGGCCATGCCGACCGCGCTGTCCTGTGCAGAACGCGTTCGTGTGTATCTACCTCATCAGCTGCTTCACCAGGCTCATCGACCTCTCCAGCACACTCTCCGACGTGGCAGGGTACACGCACAGGTGCGGTTCAGGCCTGCGCATATGCACAGGGGGCGCCCCAAGGTAAAGGGAGCGCAGGGACTTGGGTGCGAGCAAAAAGCCTGAGCCTGCCTCAGTGGCTCTCTTTTTTTTGGCGGAACCAGGGATTGAACTCAGACCTTTGCGCTTGCCAGTGAAGTGCTTATTCCACTGAGCCATCTCCCTGGCCCCAGTGTCTCTCTTCTTGCGCAGGGTTGGGGAGCTGCAGGAAGCCCTGCTGGACGTGTTTCTGAACATGCAGGACTTGGAGAGCGACCATGGCTTGGACCGGTGAGGACCTGGGGAGCAGGCCTTAGAGCATCAACCCAAGGTTGCCTGTGGCCCACTCACTGTGATTGACGTCATCCTGGGCTAATGGAAGCAACAGGCACACCCCCGCCTGGCCCCATAACCAAAACTCCGACTGGTACCTTCCCTCTCAGACCTGCAGGGTGTCCCTTTCCTTTCCTTTTTTTTTTTTTTTTTTTTTTTTGTCTTTTTGAGTCAGGATCCTTCTGTGCAGTTCAGGCTGGCCTTGAGCTTACTTTGTAGCCTAGGATGGTCTCAAACTCGCAACGATCCTCCTGCCTCAGCCTCTGGAGTGCTGGGATCACAGGGGTGTGCCACCATGCCAGGCCCCACAGATGTCTTTATTGCTGTATTTTTGGGGATTGGGAATGTTTTTAACCTTCTTTTTCTTTTCTTTCTTTTTTTTTTTTTCATTTTGTGTATTTGGTACAGGGGCTCACTTTGCAGCTTAGACTCATAGTGATCCTCCTGTTTTAGCCTCCGCAGAACTGGGATTACAGGCGTGGGCCACCACGCCCGGATTCTTTCCCTGGCTCAGCGCATCCCATGGGCCTGGCAGGAATCAAACCCTGATCCCTGAGCTTGCCAACGCAGGCGCTTAGTCTGCTGAGCTGTCTCACTGGCTGTTTTTAACCTTTTTGTGCTTTGAAGATTTGTTTCATCTTCACACTTTACTTAGGCAGATCGCTTACTGTCTTTATGGTTGTGAGTTTGAAGCCAGCTAGTGAGACTCTGCTGAGAGAGAGAGAGAGAGAGAGAGAGAGAAAGAGAGAGAGAGAGAGTAAAGTGCAGTGTTAGCGCTCATGCTTGAGGCTCTTGTGCCCACTTCCAAGCACCACAACAAAAAGAAAAGAAAACTCAGCAGCATGCGGAGCTGTGTACTGCAGACGTGCCCACCCCACGGTCCACGGGCCGAGTGGCCTCAACAGTTTAGCTTTCTGGTTGTTCTGGAGGCTCAGAAGCCAAGGAAGGGCCATTGTTGACAGGGTTTGTGCCTCCACAGCCCTCTCCTTGCCCCACAGATGGTCACCTTCTTGCTCACATGGCCTGTTCTGTGTGCACACACGTGCTGTCCCTAGAGTCCTCCCTGACCCACCTCTCTACAGGCCCGGACTCAGTCAGGTGTGCTAGACATGCCTGTGATTTCAGCATTTAGGAGGCCGAGGCAGGAGGCCAGTCACACGTTTGAGTCCAGCCTGGGCTATCTAGTGAGTTTTTTTGTTTTTGTTTTTTAAATTGTGTGTGTGTGTGTGTGGCCAGCTCAGCCACCAGGGGGTGGGGCTGGCTGGCATGTGGTGCTGGGGGATTGAACTGCGGTCCCTGTGCTTTGCGAAGCTTGTTCTAAGTAGGCGCTTTAGACCACTGAGCCATCTCACCAGCCCCTATCTAGTGAGTTTTAAGGCCAGCCTGAATTACATGCAGACCCTGTCTCAAAAAAACAGTAAATGAAAAATCAAGCCCCTGTCTCCACCTGCAGGCACAGGGTGTCGTGGGTTTGGGCACAGTGCAGCCCGCACGGTGCTGGGCAGTGATCAGTCCACGCCCTTCTTCCACCCAGAGCCCCAGTGGGCCCTGCACCCGAGCCCGTCGACACAGCTTTCCTCCTGGAGCGGGTGTGCATCTCGGCCCCCTCCTCTGACAAGCCCCTGGTCAAGGACCTGAGCCTGAAGGTCTGCGAGGGGCAGAGTCTGCTCATCACGGGCAACACGGGCACTGGCAAGACATCTTTGCTGCGGGTTCTGGGTGGCCTGTGGGCCAGCACCCAGGGTGAGACAGCCCCCCCCCCCCCCCCCCCCAGGGCCTGGGTGACTGGGCAAAGCCGGGGTGAGGAGGCTAGGGGAGGAGGCAGCTTCTCTGCGATCTCACCACGGAGGCTTTGGGGGACTCCGCAGGCTCCGTGCAGATGCTGACCGACTTTGGGCCCCACGGGGTGCTGTTCCTGCCACAGAAGCCCTTCTTCACTGATGGGACCCTCCGGGAGCAGGTCAGTGGGTCAGGGCCGATCTTTCAGCAGCGGTAGGTCCTGGGCCCCAGGTGTTTGGGGGCAGCAGGCAGCCACGGCCAGGAAGCCTTGAGTTCTTTTCCATGTCTGTGGATTGGGGCTCCGGTTCTCTGAGAGGCTCCTGGATGCGGGTTAACCTGGGGCTGCGGCCATTTGCTTATTTATTTATTTATGGAACCGGGGATTGAACTCAGGCCCTTGTGCTTGCCAAGCAAGCGCTTATTCCACTGAGCCATCTCCCTGCCCCCCGGCCATTTGCTCATGTTCACCAAGCATCAGGGCCCTGTCCCGGGAGGCTCCCGACTCCCGTCCTCCACACAGATTTCCGAAGGTTGCAAGTGACCTGTCGCACGATCTACACTCAGTTGCTCTGCTGGGGTGGGGTGCCCCTCCTTGGTGGGCAGGAGGCCGTGCTCTGGGGCCGTCGGGTTCCTGAGGCTGGATGGTGAGCCACTGTGCCTCCCGCTAGCATTCATGCTCAGCCTTGTTTGTGTTTGCAGGTGATCTATCCCCTGAAGGAGATCTACCCGGACTCTGGTGAGCCCTGTGGCGTCGCAGCGTCCCACCTGCTGTCCCCATGCACCCTCCCCACTGTGAGGGCCACGCTGCGCTTTCTACTGGCTCTGCTTTCCCCTCCCAGAACAGACGCGGGCGAAGGAAGTGATGACATTTGCCTGTCCTTCCCTTATCGTGTGTGGTCCCCTGGGCAATGGCCCAGCCTTCTGGGGCATCCACCCCTGCTGTGCTGTCCCTGTCTGTTCTGCCAGAGGCGCTGACAGCTGAAGACACCTTCTGTGCTTCCCAGGTTCCGCTGACAACGAAAGGATTGTGAGGTTCCTGGAGTTGGCCGGTCTGGTGAGTGAGGTGGGCCCCGTGCCTACCTGGGGCACCAGCTGCAGGAGATCCTGGCCCAGCAGAGCCACACCCTGCCTTCTCTGGGTCCCATGTCTGCAGTTGGGTGTGCTAAAGAGGTGTTTAAAGCAGTAGAAAGCTGACCAGGTCTATGCTTTTGTTGTTGCTGGTCCAGCAGAACCTTGTGATGTAACCGATCCCCACCTTGGCGTGGGTGTCTGTCCCTAGGCCTTCATGTCATGGGTACTGAGGGTGGCAGGGAACAAGGCTGGGGCCCTGTCATGGATCTTGTGCCCTCTGGGTCTGTTACAGTCCAACTTGGTGGCGAGGACAGAGGGCCTAGACCAGCAGGTGGACTGGAACTGGTAAGAAGTGAATTAGTGGGCCCAGCAGCTCCCCATGAAGACAGTGGGCTCTGGGGTCCCACCCAGGAATGCGTAGCTTCTGACCCCCAGGGCCATGTGCAGCTTGCCCGCTCTCATCACTCACAGGTTTCATGCCCGTGGAGCAGAGGTTCAGCCTCTGGCAGGGGCAGCAGGACTGTGGCTGTGAGCCGAGCCACCCCGGGCAGGGTGGGCAGCATCCTCCCAGTCAGCTCGGCAGCACAGAGGCCATGCTACCGCCTGCCTCCTGGCGCTCACTGCGAGCCCCTTTCCCAGGTATGACGTCCTGTCCCCAGGGGAGATGCAGCGGCTGTCCTTTGCTCGGCTCTTCTACCTGCAGCCGAAGTACGCAGGTGAGGCCTCCCTGCAGGGTGCGTGCTAGGTACTGCTGCACTCAGAGTAGAGCCCGGCTCAGCTTCCTGCCATGGCTGCAGCTGGAGCCCACAACCATCCTGGAGAGGAGCTGCCGGGTGAATGGGTGTTGCCCAGCATGCCTGGCCAAGTGGTGGCAGGTGTGGAACTGGGTGTCCCTAGATTGAGCGGTCCTAGGGAGCAGCGGCACTTACTTCCAGGAAGCTGAGGGACTCTGGCCCAGCTCCCAGGCGCACCCCTGGCTCGCTTGGCTCGCTTGGCTCGTCCTCCTGGAGGCCAGAGCAGCTTTCTGCGTTGCCAGTGCACACACGAGTTCAGAGTCGGCTGGCAGAGGCCTGGAGGCAGGGCTGGACCTTGACCCCTGCCCTCTGTGCCCCTCCGGCAGTCCTTGATGAAGCCACCAGTGCCCTGACAGAGGAGGTTGAAGGTGAGCTGTACCGCATCGGCCAGCAGCTGGGGATGACCTTCATCAGCGTGGGGCATCGGCCCAGCCTGCAGAAGGTACCCACCCTGAGGATGAGGAGCGCCTGAGCTGGCCCGGCCAGGGCTGAGTGCCCCTCACCCCCTGTGTGGGCGTCAGGGCAGAGGGTACAGGTGCTTCTGCTCTGGCCGCCAGGCAAGCTGATCGCTGTCTCTCGTAGTTTCACTCCTGGGTTCTGAAACTCTGTGGAGGAGGAAGATGGGAGCTGACGAGAACCAAAGAGGAGTGAAGTGAGGACTGAGCTCAGGACAGAGCCTCTGTCCCCAAAGACCAGGAGGACTGCACAGGAGCCAGTGGCAGAGGCCACCCCAGGTGGCCCAGGTGATACTGAGGTGTCCCCGGGCTGCTTCTGGGGCTCCACAGGCCAGGTGCTGACTATTGACAAATCACTTTGGGTCATCTGTTGAAGAAAAATCCAGACATGCACAAACAATGGGAAATAAGGGGCAGGGTGGAGGGGACCTGGAGTCAAGAAAGCCAGTGAAATTTTGCTACAGTAAATTTTTAACTTTAATTAACTGGCCATTTACATTTTATAACTTGGCTGGGAAGGTGGCACAGGCCTATAATCCCAGTACTCAGGAGGCCGAGGCAGGAGGATCGTTGGGAATTTGAGAGCAGCCTGGGCTGCATGGTGAGCTCAAGGCCAGCCTGAGCTGCATAGGGTGACCTTGTCTCAAAAAACAAAATAAATAAATTTCATAACTTTTTAAAAAGAAAAGTGAAGCGTTCAAGGTGTTTTTGTGCCTTTGGCTCTCTCCCTATCTCTTCTATGGCAGCGTGTTCTTGCTGGCCCAGCACCTGCTGCCTGAGCTTTCACCCATGACCTGCTCTGGAACTCCAGCCTCGGGCCCTCCCTCCTTCACCCTAACATGTTTCCTTAACGCAGATGAGAACAAAGCCCTTTTCTCTTCCAGCTAAAACAAGTTCGGGATCCCTTTCAAAAATATCTGAGCCGGGCATGGTGGTGCATGCCTGTAATCCCAGCACTTGGGAGGCTGAGCAGGGGGATTGCTGCGAGTTTGAGGCCAGCCTGGACTGCCTAGTGAGCTCAAGGCCAGTCTAAATTGCATAATGAAACCCTTTCTCACAAAGACAAAGACAGGGGCTGGTAAGATGGCTCAGTGGTCTAAAGCACCTACTTAGAACAAGCTAAGCTAAGCAAAGCACAGGGACCGCGGTTCAATCCCCA